CTCAGAATTTGACTTCAGCACTGCGCCTCCTCTGAGTGTCCGTATACGTTACTCTTTCCTCCTAGTTGTAGGACTTCCACTCAGCCAGCGTTCCTGTGGGTCTGGGTGATGTCCCTTCCGTCTTTTAGTTCTAGCTGTGATTTTCTTATTTATTTATCTGAAAGCACTTTTATCTTGAACATTGAATATTTAGTTGCTTGGTTTTTTTTATAATTCCATTTATCTGCTTCTTTCCACTCTGACAACTTTGCCATATATTTTATTATATAATTATATGAACAGTATAAACCCAATAACAGTATTATGATTTTTTGCTTGAGTAATCAAGACAAGAAAATATATATTTACCATTTCCAAAATTCTTCATTTTTTCTTGTAAGTCTGACTTTCCACCAGGTGTCATTCACTTTCAATAGACACTACTTCCCGTAACATTTCTTGTAGTGTGGGTATGTGTGCTGGCAAAGAATTCTCTCAACCTTCAATTATCTGAAAACATCTTTATTTCACCCTTGTTCTTAAAGGGTATGTTTACTAGATACAAACTTGTTGGTTGCTAGTTTGTCTTTCTCTTTCGGTGCTTTGAAGATGTTTTTACAATGTTGCAGGGAGTTCCAGGAATGTCAGGGCTGATCAAGGATATGACTCTGAGGTGGCACTAACATACACAAGCTTTACTGGTGACACCTTAGCTGCTAAGGTTCGCCTGTCGGGCCACCATCCAATCGGGAAGAAAAGAAAGGGAACTTCCATGAGAGAAGAGAGTGGAGAGGGGCTTTATGTAGCTAGGTGATAGCGCTCAGCAGCACAGGGGGAGCCTCTGGGTCTGAGTGCTCCCAGGGGCAGCAGCAGCTGGGGATCCTTATAGCCCCACTTTCACGTATAGTTAGCAGATATTGCATACAGTTTCATATGCGTCTGCTAAGCAAGCTACCTCTAATGGCTAACAACAAGCTTGTTTGGGCTACATTTGAAACAACTGTATATAAAATTTGGGGTTTGCTGCTAGCAGGCTTTTAAGCTAAAGAGGCTCAGCCTGTGGTGAAGGACTAGACAACCTCAGGGCCAATAGACAGGGGCCACCTTTGACTCATTCATGTAATGTCTGTCTTCTAGAATCCATAATTTCTGATAAGAAGTAGCCTCATTTATATTGCTGCTCTATACATAAAGTGTCCATTTTCTCAGGCTACTTTTTAAGATTTTTTTCTTTGTCATTTTGCTGTGTTTAATAGTTTGTTTATGCTTAGTTTGTGGACTTCTTTGTATGTGTCAGGCTTGGGATTCACCAAGCATCTGGGCTCTGAAAGTTGAAGTTTTTCACCAATTTTGGATTCGTTTACCATTATGTGTTCAAGTTTGTTTGCCAGCCCTCTCCCACCCCCGTCATTTCTCTACTCCTAGGACTCATGTACATGTATGTTAAACCAGTTGAAATTATTCCAGAAGTCTCTCGGGCTTTGGTTATGCTGTATGATCTTTTATTCTCTGTTCTTCAGATTGGAGAGTTTCTGTTGAGCTGTGTTCAGGCTAACTGACTGTGTCTTATGTAGTCTCCAATCTGCTGTTGAGTTCAGCCAGTAAATTTTCCATGTCAGATGCTGGTGTGCTTTTCTTTTCTAGAATTTCCATTTTCTCCCCCAAAGTCATTTCTGCGTCTCTGCTGAGATTTCTGTATATTTCCACTCATTTTGTCTAATTTTTCCTTTAAGTCCTGCATCTTCACGTTGTCTGCTTCTATGGACTGATTTTTTTTAATGAGTCATTTTCCTGCTTCAACAGTCTTTTTTATTATACACTGGACATGATAGATGATGAGTTGTAGGGCCTTTGGTTTATGTCACCTTCCTTACAGGAGTTGGGTTTATCATAGCTGGCAGATAGTCAGTTCCCTCTGATCCTAGGGTCCTGGTTTATTCTTCATTACAGCTGAGCTTTCTCATTTTGTCCTTATTTTTATGACTTGGCATTTTTGGAGCATTAACTCAACACCTGGGGGTTGATGAGGCCTCTTGACGCTGGCTGGATAAGAACTCCCAGGTCTCTCAGCCCCATCTGACTCTGAGCACCTCTGTCCTGTTCCCAGGCCCGCAGCAGCCACTCACCAGTAGGTGGTGTGGTGTGTTGGCCCCGGGCATGCACAGACCAGTCCTCAGCCTGGGACTCATGCATCCTCTGGGCCACCCCTCCACGCAGCCCCCTGTTCTTTAGTGCTCTGCCCTGTGAGTTCCATAGTCTGCACTCTGTCCCCTCAGCTCAGTGAGAATGCGGTCTTGGCTGGAGTTCAGCAACCTGTGCCAGGGGCCAGACCTGGCTCTGTCAGGAAGCCAGGACCTGGCACTTTTCTCTTCTCACAGGGATCATTGTCCTTTGCTATTACTCACTGTCTTCCTCTGCCCCCAAACTTCCCTCCTATAATTCTGTCCAGTTTTATTGCTTTTAATGTCAGGGAGGTACCTCTATTACTCCCACATGGATGAAAGCAGAAGACATCTACTCGATTGTACACAGTGTTGCATTCTGTGTACAAATATTTATTAGACTCTCTATAACAAATATGGCACTAATCTAAAACCAAATCTTCCCACTCAATCCCAAGGGTTTGTTTTTCCTTTGAAAATTATTTCCCTTTGGTAAAGTGCCTGTTCAAATCGTTTGCCTATTGCTAAAGTAGTTATTTTTTTGTTGAGTTTTAAGAGTTGTTTATATATTCTTGATATAATAAGTCCTCTGTGAAATAAGTGATTTGCCAAATATTTCTTCTAGTCTATATTTTTTTTTCCTTTCTCTTAGTCTCTCACAGAGCAAAATATTATATTTTAACTTTGCTGAGATCTTGTTTCTTTTATGGATTACGATTTTGGTGTTAGTTGGGTGTTGTTGTTTGTTTTGTTTTGTTTTGTTTGCCTAATCCAAGGTCAAAATGTTTTCTCTTTTTTGGTAACAGTTCTGTAGTTTTACACTTCACATTTAGGTTTATGAACCATTTTTAGTTAATTTTTACATAAATTTTGTGTGATATGTTAGGTTCTTACTTTGCATACAGATGTTTATATTATCTATTGCCCCATAACAAATTAACCCCAATTTAGTGTCTAAATACAAAGCAACATTCCTTGTCTCCTAGTTTCTGTGGATCAGGTATCTGGAAGCAGATGAAATGGATAGTTCTGGCTCAGGGTATCTCATGAGGTTGCTGTCAGCCATGGGAAGCACCTCCAGGCTTACCAGCTCAGTCAGTGGCTGTTGGGAGGCCTCAGAAGGTTACTCCTAAGCTATTCCTGTGGGGACTGGTGGGCCTGGGATGTTCACCATTTAAGCTTATCCATAGGTTGCTTCGGTGTCCACATCCCATGGCAGCTGGCTTCCACTAGAACAAGTGGTTCAGGTGACAGAGAAAGTGAAAGAGTACAACCAAGACAGAATCAGTCTTTTCTAACCTCATCTTGGAAGTGATATCCCCTCTTGTCTGCTGTTGTTTGCCAGAAGCAAGTCAGTGAGTCCAGCCCACATGGGAGGGGTGAGGGTTTAAGCTGCATGTATGGAGAGGGAAAGTACAAAGGATCTGTGGACAGTATTTGAAGTCACCACAATGTCCAGTTGTTTCAGCACCATTTGTTCAAACAACAACAGAAAACAAACAAACCAGAAACTGTTATTTTTCAATTACATTGTCTTTTCACCTAGGTCAAAAATTAATTGTCTAAATGTATGTGGGTTTATTTTTGGACTATCATTCTGTTCCATGGGTTAGATGATTTTATAGCAGGACATATAATATTCAAAATCGTGTTAAGTTTGAATGATTGGAGATCAGAGCTCTATTCCACTTTTATGTAACTACGCTGCATTCTTTTCCAGCCACACAGGTGTCTTGTCTCAGAGCCCTGCCATTTCACCTCCACGGTGGTGGCCTCAAGGCTTTGCTCGCTGATAGTAATGTGGACATAGGGATCAATGTGGGCTGGAGAGATAGGAGATCTATAGCTAGCCTAGAGGTTTGTGGACAAGCAGTGCTCTATCATCATGATCTTTCTTTCCTTCCCTAAAGGACTGGAACCTCAGCGAGGGAGCCCCGAAACATGGGGGCTAGGTTGTCTGGGACTGAAAGCATTAGACATCTGGCTAGAGTGTAAGGGCCAGGGCATAGTTTTTAATGCTTCTTTAAAAACAAAGACTAGAAGGGGAAAAGAAAATAATAGAACTGAGATAACCCCAGCTTTCTAGCAATTTAGCATCCCTCGATTTCTCAAACAAAAGGTGTTTCTAAAAGTTTAGTTTAAAATACCAATGAATTATGAGTGGATAATAAAGCTGTGGTACCTTTACACAATGGAATAGTACTCAGCCTTAAAAAAGAAGGAATTCTTACCTTTTGTGACAGCATGGATGAACCTGGAGAGCATTATGCTAGTTGAAATAAGCCAACC